AGAAGGCCATCAAGTTGGTCAAACATGATTTACCCTTGGTAAATCCGTGTTGACCACTTCCAATAGCTCCCTGTTCCTCAATGTGTTTGGAGAGGACATCCAGAATGAGTCGCTCCAATACCTTCCCAGGGACCGATGTGAGACTAACCGGTCTGTAGTTCCCTGGGTCCTTCTTTCCCTTTTGAAGATTAGAGAGATGTCAGTCTTCCTCCAGTCCTCAGGCACCTCTCCTGTTCCTCATGACCTTTCAAAGATGATGGAGAGTGGGCTAGCAATAACATCTGCCAGCTCTCTCAGCACTCGCGGGTGGATCCCATCAGGGCCCATGGACTTATGAATGTCCAGCTTGGCCAAGTGGTCTCTGACCCGGTCCTCCTCAACTGAGGGGAAATCTTCCTCCCTCCAGACCTTCCCCCTTGCCTCCAGGGTATGGGATTCGTGAGGGACAGATTTAGCAGTGAAGACCGAAGAAAAGAAGGCATTCAGTAACTCTGCCTTCTCTGTGTCTTCCACCACAAGAGCACCCCATATGTTGTTGGCCTTCTGTACCACATGAGAACATTGATGGCTCATGTTTAACTTGGTGTCTGCCGGGACCCCCAGGTCCTTTTCTACAAAGCTGCTTTTCAGCCAGCCAGCTCCCAGAGTGTAGTGATGCATAAGATTGTTCCTCCCCAGGGGCAGGACTGGGCATTTCCCTTTGCTGAACTTCACAAATTTCCTCTCTGCTAATTTCTCCAGTCTGTCAAGGTACCTATGAATGGCAGCACAACCACCTGGTGTATCACCCACGACTCTCAATATTTTGTCATCTGCAAATTTGCTGACAGCGCACTCTGTCCCATCATTCACATCATTAATGAAGATATTGTATTTGCCAAATAACTGACGACTAAGGAATACCACTAGTGACTGATCTCTGACTGAACTTCATGCTACAGATTACCACCATTTGAGCCCAGCAGTTCAGCCAGTTTTCAATCCTCCTCACTGTCCACTTATCCAATACATGCTTCATCAGTTTGTCTATGAGAATATTATGGGAGACAGTGTCAAAAGCCTTGATAAAGTCAAGGTAAACAACATGCACTGCTTTCCCTTCATCCATCAAGCCAGTCATCTCATCATAGAAGGCTATCAGGTTGAATATGTGTGATTTCCCCTTCATAAATCCATGTTGACTACTCCCAATCACTGTCTTGTCCTTTATGTGCCTGGAAATGGTTCCCAGAATTAGTTGCTGCACCACCTTTCCAGGGATCAAGGTGAAGCTGAATGGCCCGTAGTTCCCCAGATCCTCCTTCTTGTCCTTCTTGAAAATAGGAGTGACATTTGCTTTCCTCCAGTCCTTAGGCACCTCTCCCTATCACCATGTCCTTTCAAAGATTATTGAGATTGGCCTTGAAATGACATCAGCCAGCTCCGTCAGCACTCATGGGTGCATCCCATCAGGCCCCATGGACTTATATACATCCACTTTGTTTAAATGTTCCCTAACCTGATCCTCCTCTACTGAGGGTAAGTCTTCCTTGCTACAGCTTTTACCAGTGGTTTCAGGGGCTTGGGATTCCTCAAAGCAAATCTTTCATGTTAAAAAACAATACGAAGAAGGCACTGAATACCTCAGCCTTTTCTGTGTCCTTTATCACCAGGTCCCCTGCCCCATTCAGCAGCAGGCCTGCATTTCCCCCTAATCTTCCTTTTGCTGTTGATATACATGTAGAAGTCCTTCTTGCTGCCCTTCACATCTTTCTCCAGATTCAACTCCAGGTGGGATTTTGCTTTTCTGTTCTTTTCTTAAAGAGCTTTATGTATCCACTGCAGCACTCAAATCACATAAGCTATCCCAGCACATGTCAGTAAACACAATGAGGTCAGACCTTTGTGACTGTGCATGGAGTTTTAAGTCCTGTTTATTTTCCATGCTGCATGTGTTTGTGTATGGTCACTTAAAATGGGCCACTAGCCATGCTAGTGGGAAGGAGAAGTGTGAAGGCCTCCACATCATGCTGTCTCTGTGGGCACTTCTTTGCTGTTCTCTGTACTTCCGCTTTTCTTTGAAGAGTCTCTGTGAAG